GGGCCTTCTTGGGGCCTTCTCAGGCCTTCTTGGGGGTGTCTCGGAGACTGGAATGGAGCTTCCTATGGGGCACGCTCCGCGTGAGTGGTGTACCGAATGGGGTCGGGGGATCCCATTGCGAACGCCCTCGCGGCTGTCGCAGGTGGGAGCTCCTTATGGGGCACGATTCGTGTGATGGGTGTGCCGAACTGGGCGCGGGCCCGCATGCGAACGCACTCACTTGCGCAGCGAGTGGAGCCTCCTGTGGGGCACGCTCCGCGTGATGGGTGTACCGATTTGGGCGTGGGCTCGTATGTGAACGCCCTCGCTGATGACGATGCCGTTGACCACCATGACGCTGACGGACCACCATGACGCTGACAGCGAGGACGTTGACTTGTTTGACGATGACGACGACGGTGACGAAGATGAGGACGACGACGACGACGACCACCAGGACAAAGACTGCTACGTCGATGGCGATGACGATGATGACGACGACGATGCCTCTGACATGTCATGTCGGGCGTTCCGACCATGATTTCGGATGCGGATCCAGGCGTGGCACCGAGGATCCCCCCCTTCGGAGGCCCAGAAAAGACCCGCACGCGTGCTCGAAGCTTGATCCCCGGGCCTCGACCCTCGAATCTCGATGACGGCGACGACCAGGACCTCCGACGCCGCCCCTGGCCGTCTTGACGCCGCAGAGCTGCTCGTGCTGCGCCCTTCGCCGTCCTGGCTCCCTCCAGGGGCCGCTGGTGCCAATTCTGCCAGCCTGGCTGCCGGTCTGGCCGGCATGCCGCCGCCCGCCGCCGCCTCGCCGCCGCAACTCGCCGCCGCCCGTGGCTCGGGCCCGGGGGTCGCTCTGCCCGCCCCCGGCGCCGCCCGCGGCCGAGCGGGGCCGCCCCTCGCCGCCTCGCCGCCGCCCCTCGCCCGGGCCCGGCCGTCGGTCTGCCCGAGGAGGAGGAGGAGAAGGTGGAGGAGAAGAAGGAGGAGAAGGAGGAGGAGGGGAAGAAGGAGAAGAAGGATGAGGAAGAGGAGGAGAAGGAGGAGGACGAGAAGGAGGAGGAGGAGGAGGAGGAGGAGGAGAAGGAGAAGGGGGACCTCCTCTTTGGTGTCCGCTCACGGGGGGGAGCCACGGCGACTCCCAGCGCGGGCCCAGCCCGAGCCCACAGCAAGATCGGGCACGGATCAGGGCCCAAGCCGACGTTGCGCGCGGTCGGCCCCGACAGCGCTGCGCACACACTGGCTCCCGAGGTCGTGTTCTTCACTCAGCGAGCCCGGCTGCCCTCCAGGGGCACGGGCGCGGGACCGCCCGCAGCGCCGCATCCTGTCCTGTCCTGTCCCCGTCGCCCTGGTCGCCTGCATGCCTCTGTTTTCATCTGCAGTGCGCCACATCGAGTGCACAACACGTCTTGCACCACGTAGCTTGCACCACATGGATTGCGTCACGCAGACTGCACCACATACATGGCTGAACATAACCTGCACCACATAGCTTGCACCACACACGTTGCACCACATGTATTCTTCTTTCTAAAAGAGTTAGGATCTACCCCTCCCCAGACAATGGCCCCCTCATTGTATTGCAATTTGCAAATGATGAAAGCCCATCGTCCATCCTGAAATTGTATTCCTACCATGCCATCTGGGCCGGTATTGCCCCCCCGACATCTTCTGCAAACAAATTTTGCGCGCACACTCGTTTATCAAAAATCATAAGCTTTCAAGAGTCCTTTGCCAAAGCGGGACGAAGTGCACACGCGCGCGCCGTCGTGCGCGCATGCCGAAATCCTTCAACAACCTAGTACACCGCAGAAAGGTGCACCACGTATATTGCGCCACACATAGTGCACCGCATACGTGGCATCACATATATTGCACCACGTAGCTTGCATCACACGAACGCCCTTGCGCGCTTGCTAGGGAGGGGGGGGGGCAGGATCCCTGTCAAGCAGTACTATGCGGGCCAGTCACGCCCGTCGGCCGCGCTCGCATGGTGCATTCTTTCCAAAATCTTCATCACCGACACATGGACATCACTGTCGTCATCGGCGTGATCAGCATGGGCGCCGTCATTGGCCTTGCCGTCGTCATCGTCATCATCGTCACCAACATCGCTACTATCATCATCATCGTGTCTGCCGTTGTCGACGTTTCCATGATACCGCGCCCGCCCGAGCCAGCGACTCGCACTAGAGTGCCCGCGCGTCAGCGAGGCTTGTGAGGCGCAGGGGGACTCCAGCGGTCAGCGCCACTGCGGCCGCGCCGGTCGCCCCAGACTAGCTGGCCGCTCTGCGCGCGATAGCGCGGCCGCAGCGATGCGCCAGCCAGCGCCAAGCAAGCATCGCAGTCGCCGCCGCACGGGTTTTGCAAACCAAGTTGCGGGTTGGTGAGTGGGTTGATTGCGCGAACAGTGGACTTGACAACTAATTAGTGATTATTCGTTGATAGCATCACGCACATGGCACCACATGTCTTGCACCATCTGTTGCATTACTCTGTATACTAGTAACCACTTGTTCTGGGTGCTGGATCAGATTCTCTAGTCTCCTGGCCCAAACTTTTTGACCCCTTCATTGGGATCGTTGTAACATCCTGGGCCCTTTCTTGATTGTCCCGGCTCCCTGCGAGCGGTCCCAGAGGCTGAAATTCAAGAGACAACAGTCGACTCGTAGGGTTCCTGGGATGTTATCCAGCTGCCTGTGGCAAGCCCCGCCGCCGTGCCAGCGCAGCGGCGCAGCGAGGACGAGGTCCAGGTGTTGAAGACACACTGCACTTCAGCGCGCGGTCTCAATTCGAGTGGGTCTTGCATTCGACCCTGCTCTCTCGAATCTTGCGGGCCTCCGAAGGGCCTTTCGGGGGCCTCCTGGAGGGCTTCTTTGGTGCCTCTTGGGGGCCTTTCGGGTCGTCCGACGGACGGCTCTCATGGTCTGTCTGACGCCTTCGGAGGCCGTCCTCCGACGCGCGCTGCCTCTCATGCGAGGCCATGGCCTCGCCCGCCTCGCCCTTAAGGGGCCCGGGCGCATGCCCGCACAGGCGATCCGATCCGATCCAATCCTGGTGGCTTTTCTGGGCCGTCTTGGAACCCTCTTGAGTCGCTTTCGGGAAGTCTTGCAGGTATCTCCGGACCCTCTTCAGGCGCTTTCGGCCCGTCTTGGGGGTGTCTTGGGTCGTCTTGGGGCTCTCTTGATAATGGCGGGAACGCGAAAATCATGGGAAGACCTTGGTGGAGTCAGTGATTTCGGCTTCTTCGGTCCCGCCTGCGGGTCCAGCCCTCTTGGGCTGTATCGGGGGCCTTTTGGGCCATCATGGGGAAACCTAGGCATCTTGGACCAGCTTGGAGGAATCTTGACGCCATCTTGGATCTTCTCAGTTGCCCTGTAGGTTTTTGGACCCAAAAAAGCGCCAGAGAGCAAGTGCAGAACGCTCGATTTCCGAAGGGCGTGTGCCACGGGAGGGTGGGGTCGGCCCCAATTAGCACCACAGAGGCCTTACCAGACAACAGAGACACGCCCCGACGTGCCGAGGGCACGGTGGCGGATTGATCTTCGAGCCCCAATCTTCGAACCTCGACGACGACGGCGGCGGCGGCGACGCCGACGCCGGCGGCGGCGGCGGCGAGAGCGACGGCGACGGCTGTAGGGCTCCTTTCGACTTCTCCGATTCGATTTGATGCGATTTCGATGGCTTCCGATTCCGATGCGATTCGGCTTCGGATCCCGACGTTGCTTCAGACTTTTCGATGGAGCCGCAGCAGCCTGCCGATCTCCGCCGACTCGACCTCTCTCCCGACTCGGCGCTGCCGATCTCCGCCGATATCCGCTTCCTTTCGATCGCCGACTCGACTTCTCGACTCGATGCTGGGCTCTCTCCGGCGGCGGCGGCGCGCGCCCAGGGGGAGAAGGCGGCGCCGGCGCCCGCGGTGAACGGCCCCGCGACGCCCGGCGTCGTGCGGCCGGGCGTGGCGCCCGCCGTCGTGAGACCGGGCCTGGCGCCGTCGAGGCCCCCGCCGGGGGAGGTCGTCGGTGCGGTCGCCAGGTCGGCATCGGCGGGTTTTGAGTCGGGCCCGTCCCTCGACAGGAGGTGACGTCAAGGATAGTCCAAAAATAGTCTGGGGACGATTTTTTTTTTTTTTTTTTTTCTTAAAATATTTTGAATTATATTTTTCAAATTTCCGCTTGTACGTAGGGGGACATGTCCGACCCAAAACTAGTTTTATTCGCAGTGCAAATCTAGGCCTGCCAGATGGGGTCGGAGTAGATGGGGTCGGGCGATCGTGCCGTGTCGTCGATGCGGCTCGATGTGGAGCCAGATTTTCTCCACATCGGCGCCGCCGGTTCATCGCCGACATCGACAATGCATCGCTGCTGCATCGCCGATGCATCGCCGATGCGTTGCCAATGCATCGCCGATGCATCGGCGATCTGGCGCGATCCTCCGACCCCATCTACTCGGACCCCATCTAGGAGGGCTCTAAGACCATGGGAGCCTGGTATACTCTTACTTCTGTCTTTAGCGTCGATTAGCGTCGATGAGCGTTTGGGAGTCGACGAGCCAGCGCCGATTTAGCGTCGGTTAGCGTCGATGAGCGTCGATTTAGCGTCGATGAGCGTCGATTCAGCGTCGATTAACGTCGATTCGCAGGAGCCGACAGGATGGTATGGGAGGCTCCCGTGAGTTGCCACCAAAATGTCTTGCCACCAAAATGTCGGAATCAACTAGATTTACTCGCAGCAAGCATTTTTGTCAGCGTGGGCCCCGCATGGATGGTGGCAGCGCGTGGCAGCGGGCCAGAACCCGGCGGATCCTCGGGACACCACCTGCAGCCGGCAACGGGCCTGCAACGGGCGGCAACGGGGCGGAACGTGGCAAATCCCCGGGGCAGCCCCACGAGGTGTCGGCGTCACCCAGACTGGGTCGGTTCGAGGGCCAGACAATGACGTCAGCATACGCTTTCGGAGGTCCGCGCGGATTCCTTGGGTCGGCGCTGGGCCCCCCCTGGCGGCGCCTCTGGCGCC